ATTGAGCTTTTGCATGCGCCGAAGCATCAAACACTAAGCGTAATTTGCTTGTAGTCTTATCCGTACGCATTACAGCTCGATGAGGTAGATAAAATGTATTTTGGCGTAAATTTACTTCATCAACTGGGACAGGTTCAATAATATTCTCCGAAAGATAATTCTTTAGTACAGTGTTATATTCGCGAAATAAGGACGGGTCATTTTTAAAAGATGATTTCAATTTCAAAAGTCTTTTCATTGCTATCTGCTCGTTATTTTCTAATAATGTCTTCATATTTGGTTTCCAAGGCAATTTCACTTTGTATCGCTTATTTTGATATGTAATTCCGGATTCAAATTCACTCATTCTATTCTTTCTCTCAGGTGGGTTTCTATGTCAGCTACTGTCAGTTTCTATGTCTGCCTCGATACCCAAATTCTTCTAAATCCCAAAATTCCTTGAGTTGATCGGAAATATTGGATTCGTTTACCATAACACTCATTGCAAACGTTTCATTTAAGTTCGTGTTTCGGCCTTGCAAACACCACCCAAATAATGTTTCAACTGCAAATATTATTTTGAGAGTTTTGCTTAGGCGTGTAATTCGACCAGTGACAATATCATAATAGTAATCTGCACCTATTAGTATTGATATTTCTTTATTGTTAAATTCATAACAGTCCGCTAGTTGTACATTTTTTAAACGTCTAAATTGTTTCTCAATATTTTTATCCGGAGTCGGTAAATGTGTGCCCGAAATATGGTCTGTCTCCAGTGCTTCAATTTCTATGCATAAATTTGGATCATCTCTATTCTTTAAATTTAAGTTTAACTACATTAAATGATTTTGTTTCCGTTTCCTTAGCAGCAAATGTGTAAATGGAAAGGCTTTCCTTTCTAACAACTGGAAAGTTAAATCCTTTGGAAATAGCTGATAAAATAAAGGAGCGGTGTGAACCATTGTCCAGGAAAATTCTAATAATTTCCTGCTGTTTTCCATTATCAATTAAGGTTGAACATGTTTGTAGCATAGTATTATTCTTTTTTGCCGATGCGATATTCGCTGATACGACATTGTTGGTTTCTCCCTTTGGAGAAATAATGTGTGGATTATTTTGATTTCGAAAACAGATTGAAACATGGTGAGGTTTGCTGCAGATGGAACACAAATCCTTTTTCAAACATTCTTTTACTCGATGGTTAGGGGTCAAACAACAAAAAAACATTGATCCTCGCTGCTTCAATATATCTCTCCGTTCATTTGCATTAAATGTAAGAGCAAGATTCTGATTTATGACCTTTGCTTCAAAATAGACAGATTACATCTTCGACTGACCGCCAGGAAATTCCTGCGTGTGTGGGGAGGGGAAAGAATTCTCCCTCTTATGCGAAAGTCTTGGAAGAGTTATGTCTAACAGGAAGTAGAATTTTATTTTTTTATTTTCTCTTTGCGAGGAACATAAGTGTACTTGTTGGTTCGATGATTTATAATTATTTATTGGAAATCATCTCTCGTGGCTTCGAATTTCTTTATTAATGAATTGCAAAAGAGTTTTTAAGTCAAATTCTTTGCCGCCTTGAATGCGATTAAATTCTAAAACGAATTCTGAAGGAATTAATTTCATTAAAATTGGTCTCAATAGATTTGCATATGATTCACCTGTAATTCCTAAAGAAGCTAAGCTTCTGATCTGTGTTTCTACGTTATCATATAAATTTCTTAAACTTATAACATCGTTAGGATTTTTAACCGGAGTTAAATTCAGCAAAACACTCAAATGAGTGTTAATCAAAATGTTTTCCGAACCTTTCTTTCAATAAATCAAGTGCTTTATCATAATTTTCATCACTTAAAGCAAATCCACTAATACATGCTGTTGCGGTACCACCGAGATAGGATTTCAAATAATTAAATTTATCAACTTTGCTTAATTTAGGATTATTATGAACAGAGCTTTCAAATAAATTGTAAAAATTTAACAAACCAGAATAATTACCATAATATTTACTAATATGTAATTTAGGTAATTTTATATTTATATTTTCATTTTCATTATTAATCAACTGAATGTTTTGTGAAACTGTATCAACTTGGATAGAAACAGAATTCGATTTCGAAAAAATTATTTTTTCTTTTATTTTTTCTGAAGCTTCTATATCTTCAGATAGTGTTTCGACGCTCAAAAGATTTTCAATTTCATCATTTAAAGAATTTAAATCAGTTTCTTTTCCAATTAATTGTTCCAAAAATGCTTCCAACTGATCAACTGTTTCATTTTCGTTGTTCATAGCAACTTCTATTTTGTTAATTTGTTTCGTCAACATCGAAAGCATGGAACTGCGTTTCTTCTTCAACTTTGGCAGATTTTCAGCAATATTTAATTTCTATCCAGGTATAATTCAGTTTCAATAATTCAATAAAAATTCTCTTACCTGGTTCCTTCTTGGCGTAGATGCAATGCGCATCGGTGGTTTTTAGATTCAGTGGTAATCCAAGTTTGTCGAAAGTGTGGTGGTTCAGCAAAACATATCACTCATATCAATAAATCATATTCAATAATCACCAATGAATAAAATATAGATTGATTTAATTAAATATAATCATATCTCAAAATTTTACAACTGCGTCACACATTCCATCGAGCAACTGCATCGAATCTCAGCACACTCTCAATGGCGCTCTCAGCGCCCTCTAGCGTTAGGCGGGTCTTACCAATAATAATATAAGAGAATAAGTTGGCAAAAGTGTATATCCTGAGAAACTGCCCCTAGCTGGTATCACATATATGTACAGCTTTCAGAATCATAGGCACAGTTGTTTAAATGGTTGTTATTGGACGCCAATCATTAGGGCAGCTTTCTTGTCTTATTGGCAAACAGATGCCAAGAGCAGGTAGCAGAAGGTCCCCTAATCCCCAGTCACTCTTTAAAAGGGGAATATATAAGGTATTTTCTCACTCCTTTCCGCATGCCTTCGTGGTGCAACCTATAGCACACTCGCCGCGTATTCGAGAGTTCCAGGTTCGAGTCCTGGTGAAAGCATTATTCATTTTTCAAGTCTCCTGCTATAAAATAACCTAACATCTCTACAGCACAACAGGTTCCTATATTTCTGGTTCTAAATTTAGAACTAAAATTAAATTCTGCGCATATAACTGCATTTAAAATTAGATCAATAAAATCTATGATCATTAAAACACTTCTTAGTGTTAAGCATACGAGTTACATCTTAAATGCATACTTTTCAACAAAAGTATCTTTTAAAACAAGTTTTTCAATAATTTATTAAGCCGAAATAAAATTAAAAACTCTATATAATTTAACATATTGTTCAATATGCAAATTGCATATTACATTATCCAATGTTGTGTATCATTATGAAATTATACTTCGAAAAGATTTTTCTTCTTCCATTCATTTGATGGACAAGAACAACTGCAGTAATGCAGTGACAATTGTCCAAGACCAATTTAATTATATGCCAATTTCAAATTGGCATATAATTAAATTACGAAACAAAAGGCAAAGTATTGCAGAAACGCGGAATATTTATTGAACACCCAGTAAGTTTTAGTCTCTAAGCTAAACTCGCCCATATGTAATAATATTAGCAAAGAAAGAAGAAGAAACAGGAAACAAAATGCATCCCACTTATTCAAATACGTCTAAAATCATGTGATGCTTCTACTAATATGGAAATTTTCAGTTCCTTAGCATGAGCCTCAATGGCATTCAAAAACACTGAGTGGACTTTGGAAAATAACCCAACAGGAATGGGATAAAATTGGAATGGTGGTGCTAAGAAATAGTTTATTTCTATGAAAAATTCAAGCCAGAGCTATAATCAAGAATAAAGGCTATCAGATAGAAGCAAATTGCAGAAAGAAAATATGCTCTTTATGCATAAAAATTAATTATCAAAATCGTTTTTAAAATATGTGAACGACCTTCTGTATTCCTCAATGATTTCATATATTTACATGATATTCCAATATTATATTTTTTAAATTAATATACGTTTCATACAGATAAATTGATCTAACTCTTCTTCAATGTCTGCATTTATTAATGAAAAAAAGAAGTTAATAATTAGCAATTGTCCGTATCAAAATGTTTTTACAGGTACATTTAATTCAGAGATATGTCCAGAAATTTCTCATCATATGTTTTAAGGTATCCATTTTTAGATTTTATTTTCAGAACACATGAAGCTCTTCAAATGACTTACATAGAAAATTTAATATTTTTAACAATATTTTAGATGTTTTTGTAGGAATCCCTTTCCTAAAGCTGACAGTACTTGAGTGCTTTGCCATACTCAACAAATCAAAACAATTCATATGATTTCTTAATTAAAAAGTAAACAATCACAATTTATCATGAACAATTCACATAAATAACCAATCACAGTTTATCATGAAACAGTCATTTTTAATCATTAAGCAATATTAATTTACATAGCAAAATTTAATTACACTACAATTACTGCGTACTGGTTTTAAGTCACCACTGATTTTTTTTTTATTATTATTGTTATTCATACATATCGATATGAAATTTTACTTTGCCCATTCATCAGTTTTTAATTTGTGAATTCATTAAGAAGTTCATAACTCATATGTATGCTATATTTTCTTACTTAATCACTATGGAAAAACAAAAGGCTAATTTTTAAAGTTCGCTGATAATTTCATACCAATGCAAAAGTAATTTTGTATTTAATTAAAATCAACAGTAGTTTTCTCAAAAACAGCTTAATACATCATTTACAAAAATTAATACTGGTAGTTTTTAAAGTTGAATGCCAGTATATATACTTAAAAATCATATTGCATAGATATAACCAAATTGTATTGCCATAATAGAATCAAAACAGATGCTTATTCCAGACTTGCCACAATAAATACCTTTAATGTATAGCTTTAGAAATGTTATGAATAAATTAACAGCATGTGAAACAATAATGTATGCATTTAAATGTTTAAGTTTAAAAAATAAAATTAATAACTTTAGTTTTTAATTCTAGTTTTCTGCTTCTGTAAGATATTGAGCAGTCAAAGAAGGCGTCAACTAGGAAAAGAGAAAAAGAAGCAAAAAGATACAAAGAAAAAAGCTTGAGCTGTTCTAAAATTTAATGTATAATTTTTACATATTATTATGTCATGCATATTAAATAAAATTTTCGAGAAATGCATATATACAATCTAAATTATTTTAAATAAAATACAACTTCACAACTGTTTGTAAAAAATGTTTCCCTACTCTTTTCCTTATTTCAGAAAACTGTTAGAAGTTTTCTAAAATAGTAAACTGTTAGAAAGTAGATGGGGTAATGAAAAAAGTTGAAAATGTAATTAAATTTAGAAAATAAAGAACCAGTGACGGAATTTTGATTTATGAAAGAAATTTTATTAAAAAACTTTCTAGAAAGAATGATACAAAATAATGAAATAACTTAAAATACGTTTGTTCAAATATGATATTTGTTCAAAATATATTAATAAATAAGTTATCAATAATACAGAAATATAATTGGCACAAATATGTACACAATAAAATTTACTAAATATATATAGCCAACACTCTAAAAGTTGTAAGTAAAATTTTGCTACAATAGAAAACCATACACATATCTTTTTAATAAACTAGAATAAACTAAATACAAAATAGAATTATTCTTTTCAGATCATCTGATTCTACAGCTGCTATCACATTGTAAATATCCGCTTAAATATTTAAGAGGAAGCTTCCAAACATCAAAAGTTAAACACTAAATGTCAAAAAAGGAACATAAATTGATTGAAAATAAATACAAAACTCAAATTCCTGTTCAGGAGGAAGTGGAATTCACAAGAATTTTTAGCCTCATACAGCACTATACATTTTTATATTTACACTTCTCAGGCACGAGAATTTCTTTACATACCAAAGAAAACAGCATCATTCTTCTGTAAGGGTAAGTGGCAAAGTTATACCAAATACTTCTTCCCAAGGATTCTTTATAGCATTAATAAAAGAAAACAATGCTGATTTCGACTGCATTTCAATTTTCCAATCACTTTCAATACCAGATGATTCATTCAAGAATGTAATTTCTAGGCTCCTTAAATCCGTATTTAATTTCTAAAATTGAAAATATTTTTAAAAATTAGAACAATTTTTCAGCTTTGTGCAATAAAAAAATGCATAAAAAATGTACCAATAATAATAAAATCAACAAATGAAAGATTAGAAATTAAGCAATGTGAAATTTTCAAAGACAAACACTGCAAATTTTAAAAGCACAAGCTAATAGAATTTAAAGACATCAGTATAAATTTTAACAGGTAAGAAAAATTGTCTGAAACTATACAACAAATAAGTATATACAGGTATTTTTATTTTACAAAAAAATTTCTTTTATAACTTGCAAAATAAATTTTAAAAAAATATTTGCAGTTTTAAACTGGCAAATTATACATCCTTTTATAATATAATTTTTTTTTCCTTCAACATCATAACTATTTTGAATGATGAAATCGCTGCCAAAATTTGGATGGTGGTGATGCAAAATACCAAACTATTAATTTAAAATAAACTTATAAATACTTATAAAAATACAAAAGCTATTAAGATAAAAATTTTCTGACATTTAATATTTCTATAAACTGAAAAAAATATAATTCATAGAATGAAAATAAAATTTTAATATAAACAAAAGATTATTTCATATAATAAAATTAATGTTAATAAACAAAAATATTATATGCAATTTTAATTTATTTAAAAAAATCAAAATTAAGATCTGTTATGGAAATTCAAAAATAATATATATTTATGAATAGAAATTACACAAAAACACTGAAAATAACTAAAATTCTGTATATCAGTTGCATGAAACAACATAATTTTATCAATAAAATGATTTCACCATTGAACGATAAAATGAATAAGATATGAAAAATCATATATTTTCCTATTATGATTTTTGAAAGCTTAATGATCTTCATGATAACTTTAAAATATACTTAAATAAATAGAAATGTTAGAATGAAAGAAAATTATTTTCAAATTGTAAACATGATGAAAAGTTGAGAAACATAACATGTAGAATTCAAATTTGAAACCATCAAAAAAATCTTTACTTCAGTATTATATTCACAATATAAGGTACAATGAAAACATGGTTGAGAAATCTTAATTAGTAACTGCAAGAACTCTGAAAAAATGCACACTAACACTGAAATTATCCTTTGCCTTTATTGCAATTTTAGATGCAAGCTAGCTACTACGCAAAGAACTTCAAGATAATAGCAACAAAAACAATAAAATGCTTATGAAAACAAGTAACAACTAGCAGGAGTCTTTAAGGTAGTAATTTATAACCATTGACAAAAGAGTGAATGTGATAAATTCACAGTATGCAATTTTTTTTCATTAATATAAGTCACAATATAGATTCATAGACTGTACTTACATTAGAGGGCAAAAAGATAGCATTAATTTTAAATTTACAGAATGATTAAATTTACATTTAGTGCTTAACAGAAACAAAGTCATTTTTCCTAAAAATTATTATTGAAACCGCTACTTAAAAAAATAATAAAAATAAAAATAATACCGGTGAGAATTTTCATCATTACTTTAGAAGTGTATATTTAATCTCTAAAACGTTTTATAGTTCTCCAACATTATGTTATGTGAATTAAAAATAAGTCAATCAATTAAGTAACTATGAGTCTCTTAATATGAGTACAAAACGTCAAATTTGTTTCATATGACCACAAAAGTAGAAAAATAGCTATTGCCAATTTTTCAGTTAAATTAGCTTCCTTTAAACTACAACAACAATTTAAAAAATTCATTTAAATAATTTTCACTACTGTTACTGACACTCAATGACATTTGAAAGTTTTCATAATTTGGAGGAAAAGGGTATAAGAATTATAATATATAATTAAATATAATTCAACTATCCGCCCCCCCCCCAAATTTTCCCTTACTTTGAATTCAAAAAATGCAAAAAGAATGTTTTATACGGAAAAAATTTAATATTCTTCCTGCAAATTACTTAGCACCATAAAAATATATAGAAAATAAACAATTTCTTTTAAATATCCCGCTAACAATACTGCTAAGATTCTTATAAGCATTTAACTGTTACACTATCTCATCAAAAGTATTACTACTGTAACAGTATTATTAGAATTGCTATTATAATTATTATATAAGAATCCTCACATAGGATTTTTAAGTTATATTAGCTGGTGTGAAGGGAAGATAAGCAGGAGTTTCCTGTCTTTAATGGAAGAGAGCTGGCACACAATTAAGCAAATGAAAACTGTGTAGTAAGTAAAAACTATAATATACATACTAAAGACATTAGATCAGATATTTTTTGATGATCCACATCCGTATAACAATAGACAGATGTTCCTTGCAAATTCAAGCAAGAATCTTGCTTCATATACAACACTTTTAATGCAAAAATGTCACAATGTGTAACAACTATGCAAATAGGTTGAAGATCACTTTCTAAAAAGCAATAAAAGAACATCATTGTATAAAAATATAATAAGTAATTGTATGAAAATATAGTAAGTATAAAATAAAAATTACTTTATATACTCAAATATAAAGAAATGTTAAAACGCCACCTGAACACCAACTATTTCTATGCAATTACTCATGTAACAAAGCAAAGGAAAAGATAAAATATTTTTAATTAATGCCAAGCATTTCGGCATATATTTTTACAGATGACAGATTAATATATTTGTCTTTATGAATACAACTCTTGACTTGCAATTCCTACAGTTTCCAGTAATATAAAAATTTACTTCAGCTTTCAGTCAAATTATATACATGCATAACTGCTTCATGACAATAAGAGTGTGGTAAATACTAATTTACAAATATACATAAAGATGCAAATTAAATATAAAAATTATTATGTTAATAGTTAGTTCACTGCCAAATTTTTATTACATAATCACATGTGGGGGGCTCACTCAGACTGTCTTAATACTCCATGACATGACACACATATATAGAGAGAGAGTTAGCATTTTGACTTAAAAACCAAGGTCGGTCTTTTAACCCTTTGTAGCAAGGTAAATAAAAATTTCCTTCTGTACACACAGAAAAATTGAATGAAAAAGAATTTATAGGTTACTCTGAACCTTCTTTATTTATAGTAGATGGCAGCCCAACACAAACCACCCCATATATTTTAGCCTTGTTTAGTTTTTAAAGACTCTAATTTTTCAAAGAAATCTTCCAGATTTTTTTTAGGATATAAAAGGATTGTTTGAAAAGAAATTTATATGTTATTTTCTTGGCTGTATGATAACCTGCTTATTCTGTATTAGTTTTAAATTTCTACCTTGAAATCTTGCTCAAAACTGAACAGCGGACATCAGGTGTGCTCAGAGTGGGCTCACAGAGAGACTAGGACAAGACAAACACCTGTACCTTTGTTTCTCTGCAGCTCATCGGTCAGCTCATCACAATAGAAAGGTGAGTCCACATCTGAGTTTCAATTTTTTTGGGGGGGAGGAGGGGAGGTTTGGCTATCAACTAAGATATTGTTGGGGTGATTTTCTGAAGTTCAGGGTTTATGAGTTAGCTGTTTGGTTTTCCACTACAGCAGTTAGTTCTCTTTTTCTTTTTCGCTTTCGTTCAAGGAAGTTTTGTTAGCACTACGTTTAATAGTTTTCAGTTGTAGATGTTTATTTAATTTATTTTCATAGTTTATAATTAAAATTCTAGATATAATATTAGTTTTTTTTTATTATTATTATTTTATTTTAAATTATTTACCAAATGGATCAGAGAGGGCTGACCATTTCTGAAGCACTGAATCAAGTTGCTTTCAGATAGTAAATCTGATATGGATCCTGCTAAATGTGCAAAAAAAAAAAAAAAAAAAAGAAAAAAAAAAAAAAAAAAGAAAAGAAATCCAATATTGGGTTGTGCTTTTTTAACCCTTCAGCACACGCGCATCACTGCGCTATGTTAGTACACACGCGAGACAAATTTGACCCCAATGTTTGCTCTTCGGAGTTCACCCCCCAACCTATAAATAAATGCATTTTCTTTGTTTTAAATGAATCTATAAATGACTAATAGCTTTGTGAATTCTGTTAAACCTTTTTTTCCAGTTTTAATTCGAGATAACCTTGCTTTAAGTTATACAAACATTTCCATACTGGTTACCTAAAGTAAGCCATAAAAATCTAAATTTATGCAAAATTACTAACTTATATAAGATGCACATATGATTTCTTATATTAGAAAAATCATTTTTTGTATGTACATATTTTTTAAACATAAATGTTTATTATAAAGAGTGGTTTGATAAAGCACTAGAGGAATATGAAAAGGCTGCATTCTTACTAGCTTTTTTCCTTAAAACTCAATATAATATCATACAATTATTCATATCAAAGAATATATTCTAGATATGAATATTAAAAATATAAGTAACACATAGGTTTTTCCGCCCCTCCTACCTAAGTTTAATTATTCAAATAGTGTGACAACATATTTTTACAAACAATTTCTTAGGGTGAAGGTCTGCTGCATCTTCTATTCTCTAGAGAATTTGTTTCTTATTGATGAAATGTTGTTGATTTGATCATGTTTGTTGATTTCATCAAATCTTCCATTATTTCTTCATCAAAAATTTGCAATAAACGTTCAGTTGGATTTTTAAATTTCCAAAGCTTTTTTAGACACCAGGTAAATGTGTCACTATATTGTGCGGCCGTGTCCAAACGTTTTTAGAGGGTAATGTTTTACCTCAAATTGTTCCATCTTTTCAAACATAAAAATCATCTGATGTCAAAGAAGATATACTCCCCAAATCATGTGAATCATCATATTACTGGTCAGAATCAGTTTCGTGAGCACTTTCAGAAATATTATCGCACTCAAAATCGGAATCTTCAATTCCGCTATCAGTTTCAATACTAGCAAGAAGAACCTGTAGTTGTTACTGTTCTTGATCGTACGACTCATATCAATGAATGGCTCTCTAGAAGTGAAACGTTAGTACACGCGCGGGGTAGCTACAATCCCATTGCACATTCCTTGTCCGAAAACACAAAATCCCTAGGATACGGGAAAAATTCCTCTGGACGACCCCTTCCTAACCTTGATCTTGAAAGGTACATGAAGTACTAGAAAGGTCACGTACGACCTTCCCTTATTTTCTAAGAAAAGACTACATGTGGGGTAGATTTTACCCCAGCGCGTGTGCTGACGGGTTAAAGGTGGTCTCACTTTCTTTGAAAAGTACCACAATGGAAAAAAATAGATGAAAGTGTAAATATGAAATGTAAATAATATAAATATCATATACTCACTATCTTTTTCATTCATATGCTTGTAATCATCATATAACCAAGAAGAGCTTTTTTAGGGGGTGTAGAGTAGCAGGCCTCTTCATGACACACTCTGGGTAATGCTAATTCTGCTACGGTATTCAGAATCTAGTGTTTTTTAATCATAGGCAAAATCTCTTACTCTTTTATGCACTTCCCAGCAATGCTCATTTCAGCACTCTTTTCAAAGTTCTAGTCATTCAGTGTGCCTGCTTCGAACACACCCACAGAATTAAAACTACAAGTGCTATCTTCACGAAATTTTACCTGTGTACTCCTCCAGGCCTTATTAGACTGCCAACACCCCCCCCTTTTTTTGTCGAAATTCCAATTTTAAAAAGTAGTGTGCCAGAACAGGGTTAAAGACACATATTTTCAACAGATTTATCATCTTTATTTTAATACCTAATTTCTAACAGCATATTTCTTGTGCATATCATTTTTAAATTGGTTATTCAAGTTAACATGCACTAAAAGGCCATATATTTATATATTTACATACTACTACTAAAAGGCCATATATTTATATATTTACAGTATTAGCATGTCTGGAAATTATCTTATGTATATTGATTATAAAAGAATTAAAAACTTTCAATGTGTGGCTAATATTTAAAAATACTCATATTCGGTGAAAGTTTTTTAAAAGATTAAAAATTCCATATCACTCACCTTTTTTCCAATATGCAAAAAGATGCAGCAAAATTTCAGGAGCAGACTCAGATTCTGCATTAGATGAAAGAATTGATTCTTTAAGCATTTGCAAAGTTTCTTCAGCAGATGACAAAAACTCAATTTTGTATCCATCAGAAAATCGTTCTTGAATAACATCTGTAGAGTATATTAATGTTTACAGAAAAGAAAGTATTTCCAATCAGCATTTTTAGTTAAAAAAATCAAAAGATTTCATTTAAAATGTTACTTGAAATTAAATGCATACAATGAATTAAACATGATATATAAAGCCTGAAAAATTACCTCCAGCTTTATATTGTTTTTCATATTCTTGTAAATAACCTTGAGAGGCATCTGCTGGATATATGCAATATTTTTTAACGAATTTTTAAAACAATTTCTATATCATTCACCACAGAACAATTAACTAAAAAATTATGCAAAACATTATTTTTACTGAACTGAACACTTTACAATTAACTAAAAAAATTAAAACAATTAATTGATGTTAACCCCCATTAAAAAAACCTGGAAACAATTTCCAGGTATCCTAAAACGTTTGTGCTGTAGTTTTTTGCGAGAAGTAATGATTTAGTAATTTTTTGCAAATGAATTTTATTCAGCAAATAAAACATGTTCCCAATGAGTTAGTAATTCCCCATCTGTATCTCCCTAGAGCCAAAAAATTGTCTTGCAGTCCGCATAACATCATTTCAGTTTGGGAACTGCTGCTTATGTGGTTATTCATGCAGAGCCGTAGCTAGGGTTTTCAGAGTCTGGGGATGGCTGAAGATTTTGTGCCCCTCTCTGTGTGCCAAGAATGGAAAACATTTCATACTAAAATTTCATAACATCAATATAGCAACCCCTGGATGCTGTGCCCAGAGACAGATTTCCCTTCTTGCCACTCTAGCTACGCCACTGTATTCATGGCAAAAACCAGGTGACAGTATAATAAAAACAATGTTTGGGGAGTAATGAGAATGAGGTAAAATTTCTCAACCAAATGTCGTTGATCATCTCCTAGGTCGCTTTTGCCATGAGATGTTGTGGTGTAGTCTTGCAGAATGATCACTCCCTTCTTACTGACTAGTACTGGCTACTTTTAATGCAGTGCATCTGTAATCTTTTTTACAGCTATGAAGTCTACATCTTGGCTGTTTACTTGTTTGACACCCTCTAGTGATTTGAAGTGCACAATATCAGAGATGTTTCACCAAATACAGAGCAGTACCTTCTGATGACGATCTTTTGTTTGGGCACAAATGGCACAGAACCAGAGATAGAAAACATTATTGATTATATTATGCTAAACATTATTATTATTGATTGATATGGGATGAGAAACTGTTAAGACCCATTTCTCATCACATGTCAATATCTGACCTAAGAATGAGGCTTTCCGTGGTGTGACAGCAGTAAGAAGGAACTGATGAGCTGCTGGAGTTTGTTTCTGTGGTTAAAATATTAAGAACTTACTTACTGAGCTTCCATGTTTTACCAAGTTGTGCAGATGCAATTGAATATTTTTTTCTAATACTCCAAACCCTTGTGCAAGTTCCTTACATGTTTGATGTGGATTTTGCTTGATGTCCTCCTTCAGCAGGGCTTCATCAACACTAGACTGATGCCTGATTCGTGTTGGGCAGGCTCTCATCTATTGATGCAAATCCACTAAATCACTTTCACTCTGTGCACTCACTCGGAGCACATTTTCTGACAGATTCTGCAGCATTGCTGCCCAGTTTAAACTCTTAAATTAAGGCCATAAATCATCCTTGAACACTTGCATGTTCACTTCAGAACTTAGTTCCTATAGAACTGCTTTCGACACAACCAACAAGCCTCATAACTCTGCATTGGCTCATGGTTGATGGGAATGTTAAATTTCTGAAATCATCCTGACAAGGTGTCCAACACCTTCCATTTGAATTTCACTTTTCGCTCCAGTAGCACAAACTTCTTGGATACCTGATACAAACCCCTTCTGAATTAAAAATAAATATAAAAATGCATAAATAAAAACTAACCTGATATTAAAGCCAAGAAACAATTACAAATGTCTGAATCTCTTATCAATAAAGTATATACATGTACACTAGGTCCACATGCAACAGTCAAGCCTTGGTTACCCAAAATAACTTTGATTTGTTTTACTTGAGTAATTGGTCCAGAATATAAAACTTGAATCATTTTTTCAATAGACTCACTGAAACAAAACATATAGTTGTAGTTACTGCAAATAAAGATCGCAGATTAATTAATGAAAATAAGCTTTTAAAAAAATAAAAATTTCAGTGTAACTAACAAATCACTGAAAAAAAAAAAAAAACTTACTTTTGCTCGTTATTCAGATTGTATGTAGGAAGGAATTTGATCACATAAACTTTGGTGGTTGATAACAAAAATAAGCCTCTAAACTCCTCACCAGTGGACAAAGGCACTACTGAAGTCTACATAAAGAAAGACTATTCTGCTCAGCAAAAAATATATAAACTATGAAACAATAAGAATTTAACTGCATTAAACAAACAAAGTCATTATATGGAGGCAGTAATCAATAGCTTATTGCTCTAAAACAAATTTATGAATAACTATCTTATTGATTTCAATTGTTATCACAATATTAATCTGTAAAAATCATATATCACAACAGAATTTTAAAAGTTATGTATATGCATACTGTTTAATTTGATACTTTTGTATTAGTGTAACCATCTTGCTGCAGTTTGGCGAATTGGTAAACGATACTTATCAGGGGTAAGTTGGGAATTTTGACGACTTTCTTTTTTAAATTGCCAAACTATTGATATTCATTGCGAGCTGGCAAACATAATCAACAAATCACAAGAAAACACACATTAGCCATTTAATACACAAATTTGAAGTATTAAATAAAGAATTATATGACACATTTAAAATATGAAACACATTTTCCACAAAATCTTTCTGCTTCTTTTTTTTTTTTTTTTTTTTTTTTTTTTGGCTGTTCTCTCCATGCATTGATTGATCTACTTTCACTTAAAGAAATGTACAAGAATGGAATCATACAAAATGTTAGCATTGTGCTACAGCTATCTACTAATCATATCTTATCACTGCATATATAACATTCAATTTTATTTGCAATTAAACCCATTCTCGTGCACCACTATAATAAAGACATTTTCTCATTTCGTTCCAAATATGTAGCCTTGAAAATGTCAAATAGCATTTAAAAACTGATAACTCATGACTGAGAAGAATATCCCACAATCCCACTGATTCCGGTTATATGAAAATTGCTATTAAAATTGAAGGAATAATATGCGCATGGTTGCTTGAAGAACTCTTAAGTGTATGGTTGTCAGAGTTTGGTGCATTTTGCAAATACGGCACCTATTAAAGTGGCTGCAATAATACATAAACAACTCTTTTTTCTTATACCATTCCAAAATAAAATAGACTATTCAGAAAATTAATGTACAAAGAAACTACTCAAAAAACCACATGGCTTTGGATAGACAGAATGTTCCATATACATTGTATAACAAAATACTTATTAAATGATCAGTTTTAAAAATATATAAAATAAATTAGGTTTTTGTGATAATAATCAAGTCATATACCAAATTTTAATAAAAAGCTTACAGTTTTAATTCAGGCTTTTTATAAAAGAAGCTCAAATTACTTCAAATCTTAAGACAATTCTATAACATCAAAATCTGCACTGGAAAAACTGTCAAAACTACAGTCAAAAGTCTTTAATCCGGACTCGTCGGGACTTCGGCTATTCCGGATTATCGATTTTTCCGGATTATAGATCATCAGTTTAAATCTGGTAAGATGGCATGCAGAAATTATAAAATTAAAAATATGAAATCGTAATTTATAAAATAATGAGCAATTATGATCTAAAGGGTATCAAAATTTACAAAAAAAGAAGCTTAATATTTATTTGTTTACTTTATTAAACATTTCTTTCAATGCGCGCATGCGTACCTTACGCATAGCCGAAATTAGAAAATTGCAACCAGAATACTATTTGATTTGTGTTCGTGATATTTATAATGACGAGCAATTTGATTTAAATCATATCAGACGGAGTACATCGAGATTAAATACTTACTACATTTAGTAAGGAATTATAAGCCGAATAAAATAAAAACACCTGCGCTGAAGATAACGATAGTGGTGACAGATCAACTTCCAGTTCATTGCGCGCCGCGACGTCCCCCCCCCCGCGCAGAGCAGCGTGAAATTGATAAACAGATTTCGGAACGGTTAGATAAACAAAGGATATACCTTTATCCATTTTTTGTAGCAATTCGTTTTTTGTTTGATGGACATCGAATCATACTTTCGTTTTTTAGATCCTTTGGGAGCTCCAGCATCGGAAATTCTATTTGACATAATCGAAAGTTCAAGCTTACTTTTATAAAATTGCTCTTACAGTCTGCAAAAAATAATAAGCCAGATCCAATTCGAAGATTAAGGAACAACGCAATCATCAACATTAACTGAAACAGATAATTAGATAAATTTAGCTTATACCGTCCGTTATACATTAAACGCGCACGCGAAAACGTATTCTGCGCTTGCGCAGACGCATATGCACCGTCGTAACTGTCTTGCACACACGCGTAAAACGCCTATGAGCATGCGTCAACGTGGCGCATGCGCAGAAAGATTTTAGCTTTGAGTTCCGGATTATAGATCATTCCGGATTATGGGTGTCCGAATTAACGACCTTTGACTGTATATGGTTTAAACCAATTTTTCCCAATATAAAAACTCAAAATTTCAGGGACTGTATAAAAACAGAAATTAATCAAAATACAAATTATTTTAAATTAATAATTTTTATAAACTAAAAATTCAGATTTACCTTTACATATGCATGTTTCATTCATATATAAAGAGACAATGAAAGCAATGGTTATTTTGATTTTTTTTTTTTTTTTTAAATATCAAACAAATCTGCAAATTTCTGTTACTGGATTATTTTTATACTTAAATAATTTTAATATTTAATGATGCACTTTTTCTAAATTTAAAATTATGTTACAGAGCAAACATATTAAAGGGAAAACACTGCATGCATGTGTCTTCTGTAATATATCAAAACACCATCTGTCTTGATACCATGCCACAGGATGATAACATTATTCAAAGTCTGAGTGGCTAATAAATGCATAAACGTTTGTGCTATAGTTAAATGCTTATTTATGTACTAGTGGTTTATGGACAGTATGCTGCTTTGTACCTAACATGGTTTTGGGGGGGGAGGTGGCAATACTATGAAAATTCTTGAATTTGAAATTCACAGAAATGGTAGCACAATCACAGACCATTAATATTTTATAAAACTGATAGTGCAAATAATATGCCTAACAGTTTCATAAAATATAAAAATTACCCTGTAAATGTTGCCATTTTTTCCAACAATACAATTACTAATTCTACATATAGCATATCTTTCCACAATTTACATTCAAAATGTTATATGCATAGTTATCTTTAACACTATAATTAACAAATCATTTAATTTAGTACCACATATCTTTAGTTACATGCATAACTGTCTTTAGTCTTAGTATGGACAATTTTGAATGTAGCTGATGAATACCCCTTTCACACACATATTTAGCAATGAAAAACACTTTTTCCACTGAATTTTAGTTAGTTTAAATTTTTAATTGACAAAAAATTTTCCATTTTATATATTTTTACTCTAAGTTTCATGTGATTAAAACTGACCATCTCATTTGATTTATCCCTGAAATTACAATCAAGGATTCAATGGATACACAGCTATGCAATGTTTCTGAAATACAAAAATTTCTTAAATAATATGTTAAATTTCATGGCATGCCTTACATAATATTTATATATATTGGAGAGATATAGCTACTTCAATTTTATCGAATTTATTCAAATAAATAAATAAATAAAAAAGTAGGTGCACACAACCATTTTCAAGCATGAAACTAAATTATTAACAGTTGCCTATTTTATTTCCTGGCTTTGAAAAGTTCTTGATAGCCCTTCAGTCTAAGCTTAAAATGGCAATAATACTTGCAATACATGTTAAAATAATGAGTATTTAAATTTATATGTACAGAATATTATAGTTACCTCTAAGCATGCTTCTAAATGCTCTTTATCTCCAAATATATTTATTTCTATATGTAATTTTAATCTGTGATCAATTTCATTGAATATATCAAAGGATATAACGTTCTTCTCTTCCAAAATACGCATTAACTGATCAGTTTTATCTAGTTCAGTAGCTTTTTCATTTACATCTGCTTTACGCTTTTCAGATCCTGTACTTTTGTATGGTGAATGATATACATCAGAATCACTTGAATTGATTTCATGAACTTTTGGAGGTTCTTGGCTTTCATGAGTAAAGCTCTCTGTGAAGGAATGGAAATCATCCTCACTACCTGGATAACTAAAAACTTTATTTCCTTTATTCTGTAAACCTTAAAAATGTTTAATATAATTATAGAAGGGAAAAAAAAGAAAAATGAATACAAAATAATAGTTTGCAAATGAAGGGAAAATTATAGAAGATGAAATAATGATAAATAATTACCAACATCAGCATTAATTTCTTTTTTAGATGATGTGTTGCTGATAATTTCATTGACAGCATTTTGAGAAAGTGGGGGTGACCTGACAACGTTTAAAGCAAACAAAAATAAAATACTGAAATATAACATCTTGTTATTTCTTTAAATATCTACTTTTGTATTAACACAGAATTTCACAAATTACAGTCATTTAAAATTATATAGACATAACAATTTGGACAAAACTGACAGCATAAAGTTATTCTCAGAAAATACAAAAAAATACTTACATAGAGCACTGTGAATCTCTTTCAATAATAGTATTCAGATTGCTTTCACATCCAGGCTCTGGTATCACAGCTATACTACTCTGACTAGGATTGCTAATAATAGTTATGTCACTAGAATTTCTGCTCATTGCAACATCTAAAGCAGATGTCTTTAGAATATCATTTTTATTCTGAGAAACTGCTATAGAACCTATCATGAAATTAAAAACACAAACCACTTTAAACACATAATAATGACCTCTACAAATGATAAGAAAAAATAAAAATATCCCATTTACATGCTTAACAAATACACTTTTTACAAGAAATGTAATTTGGAAAATGAGAATTTTTTTAGTTATATATTTACTTTACTCATCTACTAAATGAATAAAATAACTATTTCTACCAAATCATCACCATAAAAAAAATTGTATTAGCATGTAATGTTTAGATTTAGTTGTTGCTACCTGAAAAAAATCAACTATGTTGGTAAAACTAAAGGATAATGCACATTTATATTTCTGACATGTATTTACTAATTAAAAGAAGGTTAGATTTTGATAACTTTATGATAAAATTTATGATTTTTTACCAAAAATTTGATAAAGTTTAGAATGTATGATAAAAAATTAAATAAAAGTACAGTAGGTTATCCATAGGGCAGTAATTTTAATATAGGGTGAAAAGGAGAAATTCACAGGACAAACACATGTAAGTTGTGAAAATTCACATGCTAAGATTTACAGTAAAAATTTCACATATTTCTAGAGATTAGAATTCATAGTAATGACTGAATAAATTTCATAGCTGAAGAATTATGGAAACATTTTCAAGAAAATTTGACATGTAAAAAATAAGTTCCAAATACTAGGATAAAATCAGCTATGATATCACCTAGCAGACAAAAGCAAAGCTTCAGTTTTTCAAACACAGCCTTTTAAACTCATTTTATGATAAATAAGTGCACTGCATTTAATAATTCAAGTTAAATTTCTATAATTCATTATCTAAAGTTTTAATTTCAAATTTAGAACAAGAATATTCTGCAATATATTTTTATATGAATCCTAATGAAGTATTTTTGTTTCATTTTAATCAACAGAAAGGTTTTTAAAATACAAAATATAATATAACACATGAAATGTAAGTTTTTAACAAAATCTTAAATCAGCAATTTTTTTAAGTAATTGGGGGGGGGGAGGAACCCATAGAAGGCAAGCTAAGTTTTTAAATTTCTCGAAAATAATCCATCACCACTTACAATTTAGCTTAAAAATGGGATAATCAATTTATCAAGCAATATAACACCCATCAACTCTACTAGATTTCAAACGCATTAGCTGTTGGATCATAGCTTGGTATCTTAGTCATTATAATAGTTTGGTGATCATAGCTTGGAATCTTAGTTACTGTCACAATCTGGCAGAAAATAACTTGTAATTTTTCTTGGGCCCCAAGTTGAAGTTAATAACATAAGTGACATGAGGAAATTCTTGAATAGAAGGCAAGTATTTATTGGAAAGTTACTGCCATTTTTGTTGTTTTGGTGCTCATATGACCAAGTCTAATGGCATTATGTTGGCAGACCTAGTTTGGTTATGACAGTTACAAATTTGCCATTGAAGTGATACAAAATATGCTAATGTGATCACTTCATTTTGTCTCCCTGCTTTTGAAATATTTCTAAGGTTTGCGACATACATCATGCCAATAACATTGCTTAACATCAGAATCACCAAAAATGTAACCAATCGAAATAACCATCTTCCATTTCTTCACAGTATTTCCCCAATTTAATCTTCAACTTCAGGTATTTTCACTTTAAAGTGCCTTTTTTTCCCCCAAAATTCATGATAATATATTTATTTAGCCTTAAAAAGTAATGACAGTTGTTGCATAGAATACCATGCTGACTACAAAGCGAACAAATTACTTTTTCTTTTTACATTTTTAGGTGGAAAACATTTCATTTCAATCTTTTAGTCCATATGATTTTTTATTGGTCTTTTACTACAATTACACTTCTTCTTCCCCCCCCTACTCCATTTTGCACAGCATTAACAGTTCTATTAGTCAATTTAACAATCTCTCTAAAATTTCTTTTCATCAAGATAAAATAAGATTTTCCTCATCTCTTTCAGTTAGTTCTATACTTCTTAGCATCTTAATAAAACATGCATTTTTAACAAGCAGTGAAATACTACTGTTTACCTATTTCTGAGGTATGAATTATTAATGAAAAGGAAAATTTAGATAATGATCATCTGCATGTTTTTTTAAAAGCATAATATTTTATAGTTATGTTGACTGTTGAAAATAGAAGTGTAATTAATTAAATACGATTCATTTACTATCGCCAAATGCTTTTTAAATAATTGTTAATAATTATATTCTGCTGATAACTACACTGATAAAAATTAAAATACAAATGTGTATTTAAAATTTCATTTTAGACTATATAGCAAAAATTCACATAAATAAAAACTCAAAATAATTTACAAAGCAATAAAATGTTAGATGAAAAACTTTTTACCTTCATTTTGATGATTATGAGATGCTCCAGCAAATTTCCTATTAAAAATGGTTATTAATAAGATACATAAAGACGCTTTTAACAAATTTTAAAATGCATGCAAATAATATTTATGTTCACAGCGGTATAAAATTAATAAATATTGCTGATTTAAAACAATCCACAGTGAGGAAAAATATACTACATTAAAAGTAAATCATTCCTACAAACATTTAAGTACCTCCTTTCATAATATTTTATTTTTAGTTGGTATTTTTTAATTTTAATTAATAAAAATATTTTCTCATATTTCAATTGAATTATCAGAAAAAGAAAGTAAAAACACAAGATAATATATTTGACAATTAAAAAGGTTAACTCTTAACCACAGAAAACACAGAAACATTCGACTTTCATCACTATGCAGTTTCAAACACTACTGACAGGAATTTTATACAAACCGAGCTCTTGCATTAAATACACTCAGTCTGATATTTATTCTGACTTACCCATGTTGTAAAATGAAATAAAACAAAAATGAGAATTATCTATTAAAACATGATATAAATATTTTTATTAATCTATTATCTGATAACATTGCATTTGGACAACAGTGAATACAAATATACTAGGACAACTACATGAAGAACATGTCAAAAAAATTGCTAAATTATAAAAATGAGTTATCTTTACTAATTTAGCAGCAGTTTCAAAATATGTAATAACTCAATTATATACATATATTCTTCCTATTTTATATACTTTATAAAAGCTTCTTTTGTTATGCATCTTAACAGCAACATAGTCTTAATAACCACAAAACAAATGCGCTTTATTGGGTCACTTATGATTACCTAATTTATCACTGTTAAACATAGAAAATGCCGTGGTTCGCAAAGCAAATATTTATTACTGAGATATGCAGAGATACACGTAGAGTTACATGCCAGGACATACAAGCAAGCAGAGATAAGCACAAGCACAGATAAGTAAGTACAAGCAGAATAATACAAGCAGCGATAAGCGGTTACAGAGGTCATATAACTTTAGAACAGATCATGGTTTAACAAATCATAAACAAGACACAATAAATAACTGATCAAAAATAACATACAGACGGGATTAAGTTTCAGAATAACTCGGACCTGGCTGAAAGCTAATGAATGTATCGGACGTGACAGAAAGGTATACTTACTTTTAACCAGTAAGAATGCGATTACAAATATCTCAACACTCCCCCTTAATCGCATGTTATACAAAACATAAAAGAATTACACAATTTTTAAACAGCTCAATGATAACAGTTCATAAAATTTTGTTTTGGACAAAGCCTTAGTCAACATATCTGCAATTTGTAAACCTGATTGTACATATTCAATTCTAATATTATTTTCCTTAACTCTTTCGCATCGAGAGAGGGCAAAATCTCAATTCCCCCAAACATCGAAAATGCCCATATCTAAGAATTTCTCCTGGAATGCTTTTCCTTCCCCCATGACAAGTTGAATACTACAGCGCTAACAATAGCCTTACTTAAGTAAAGCGAGAACTTCTTTCTTCGACGCTTTGACACTGTGTGAAGTTCCCCCTTGGGACGGGATTGCAACTTCAGGCATCAGAGGCTAAACACTGACAGTAAACAAAGGAAAGGAAGGAACAAAGGAAACAAGGAAGCTACTTTTAGTAGCTTCAAAAGAATGATTGACATGTGATTTAACAACAGATTGTTCAGAGTCTAACACCTGAAAGCAATGAGTAATGCAGTAACGTGATGAGGGAAAGCACTGGGTAGGAAATTATTCAGGCGTTTCGGGTGCCCAGCGATGTCTGAATGTTTGGGCGTTTGGGGCAACTTTTGATGCAAAACAGTCTTACGAGTGAACTTTAATTTTATATCTATATGTTTCAACCTACCTGAAAAGTTTTCATTAACAATACTTTTGATACATGACTGGTTATCCTCAAAAATATAAACATTTTTAACACTGGAAATTTCATTTACTACATTTTTTATCCATAAAACATCTTGAATACCTTTACATAAAGCAATTATTTCAGCTTCTGTTGATGAAAGTGCAATATACTTTTGCTTGTTGCAGCACCACATAATAGGACAGTTTAAAAACATTATAAAGTAACCAGTAATTCATTCCCTATCTTGAGTATCACCCCCCCCCAATCTGCATCCACATACAAACATAAGTTTGCTCTTTCCAAATCACCCTTTTTGTATATCAATTTTAAATTTAAGGTGTTTCTCAAGTACCTAAGAATTATTTTTAGAGCACGCCAGGCAACATCAGTAGGATGTTCCTGCAGTTGGCTTAAGCAATTTACTGCAAAAACAATATCTGGCCTTTTGATATATGCTAAGTAAAGATCCAATTAATTCTTTGTACGGGCCATGAAATGCATTTCCTTTCTGAAAATCAGCTGCTGTAGATTTTGGTTCAATGGGAGTTTGGACTGTTTTACAACCAGACATTTTAAATTTATCAAGTAATTTTTCAATATATGGTTTCTGATCTAAATATAAAAAAACCAGACTCAAATTTAAGTCTAATGCCTAAAAATTCTGATACTCTTTCAGATTTTGACATTTGAAATTCACTAGATAACAATGATATTATAATATTTGTTTCTTTTACATCCGAACCTGCAATTAATAAGTCATCTACATAAAGAGCCATAATTACTTTCTTACAATGTAAATTTCTGATGAAAATACATGGTTCAGAGTCTAATTGTTTAAAATCTAATTTAATAACAAAATTAAGAAATTTCTGAAACCATTGTCGAGGAGCCTGTTTAAGACCATATAAACTCTTTTTAAGTTTACACTTCTTACCACTCATATCATCATATCCTTTTGGCTGGTCCATGTACATGATTTCATCTAACTTACAGTTCAAGAAAGCTGTCTTGACATCTAAATTAAAAGTTTGCAAACCTTCATTATAGATAATTACTGGGATTAAACGTAAAGAGCACATACTAATCACTGGAGAAAACATTTCTGCATAATCTACGCCTTCCTTCTGCATAAAGCCACGAGCAACAAGCCTGGCTTTGTAAATTCCATCTCGTTTTTAACGTAAAACCCATTTGCAGGAAATAGCTCTTTTATCAGAGGGTAAACTTTGTAAGTCCCAGACATCGTTATCTTCCATAGATTTCATTTCCTCGACCATAGCTCTTTTCCATGGTTCTTGTTCTACTTGTGCTAGATTTACAATATCTTCAAATGTCACAGTGTCTTGTGCAAACATTACTTGGTAAATTTCAGGATTAGGATACCTAACTAGCTGTTTCTTTTCTCTTGAAGATTTTCTTTGTTCCTCCTTCTTATTTGCAGCATTTAATTCGCCGTTATCAGTGTCTGAAATTGATTTGTCTTCATTTTTAATATCATCATTGTCATTTTAACTCAAATCAGAAATATATTTTTGATTTTCTACTTTCCTCTCTTCATTAAATTTAACATTTCTGGAAACAATGATGCGTCTTGTTTCTGGAATCATTAAAAGATATCCCATTGTGGAATAACCTACAAATATCATTCTGACAGATTTTTCATCTAGTTTCTTTCTTTGCAATGGTGGCACAAGAGTATAAGCATCACAGCCAAATACACAAATGTTTGTTAAATCAGGATTTTCACCATACTTCAGAAAATAAGGAACACGATTTTCAATCGAACTATTTGGGAGTCGATTATTTATGTAAGCAGCCGTAAGTACAGCTTCACCCCAAAGAAATTTTGGTAATTTTGCCTCAAGTATCATTGCTCTAGCTCTTCCAGTACAGTTCTATTTGCTCGTTCAGAAACACCATTTAGAAAAGGTGTATAGGGAGGTGCAGGATTTATTTTTACACCTGCTCTTTTAGCAATATCATGCAATTGTCCACTGACTTATTCTTTGGCATTGTCACAGCGCAGTTTTGTAACAGTTGTATTCAATTTAAAGAATAGCTTGAGTTCATCAGCACTGTCACTTTTTCTTTTCAGCAGTCTGATTTCCATAAATCGCGAGTAGTCATCAATTATAGTCATGAAATACTTTTTCCCATGGAGTGTTTGAGGTTCTATTGGACCACATATATCAGTGTGTATAGTTATAAACGGTTTGGATTCTTTTATGCGAGGACCCTTTCCTATAGGCAAAGCACTTTGTTTGGCACGAACACATATTTCACAAAAAGATTCTTTTGCAGGAAGATTCATTAGTTTTAATTTTTGATCACAGCAGTGTCCTAACCTTCTGTGCCAAAAATCATCATTCTTTACTGCTAAAGCTGTAAATAGGTTTGGTGAAAAATCACTAAATATTGTCCGCATTTGTCCAAATATCCAAATCTAAAACGCTTGTTTTTGTTTTCAATATAAATTACTTCATTTTTAAAAATTACGCTTAAACCTGCTGCTTCAATATTTTTTTACAGAAATTAATTGTCCATTTAATTTTGGAATGTAAAGAACATCTTTTAACATTATTTCAACACCATTCTTAGTTTTACTGCAAATATCACCAATTCCTTCCACTTCTAAAACTGCTGACTTAGACGCACACTTAACAGTTCCAGTCTTAGGCTTAATTGAGGTAAACCATTCCTTGTGAGAAGACATATGAGAAGTTGCACCAGAATCAATAATAAATTGATCATGCACAAGATTTCCAGCTATAAAAGATATTGCAGGGGATGCATACTTATTACTATTTGAATTTGCCTGCTTTTTAGAATTATCAAAACATTCACTTTTGAAATGACCAGTTTTCTCACAGTTATGACAGACGCAGTTCTTTTTCCTACAAAATTTAACAGAATGTCCTTTTCTTTTACAATAAGTACAAAACAATTCTTTACGAGCACTAATAAAAACAGAGTTATCTGTATTTGGTTTAGAATACTTATTTTCATTTTTATAATCAAACATACAAGATTCACAATCAATAAGTCTACATGTAACAAAATCTAAACTCAAATTATTGCTTGGCTGATTTTCGAGAGATGCCTTAATATTTTCATATTCCTTTTGCAAAGACATTAAAATGTAAAT